ATATATAAAATTGGGCTCTGGAGGAATCACTGTATGTTTATTAACTATTTTACTTGGGACTGACAAGTGTGCAATGAAAGAGGTCCTCTTGCCAATGCTGGCGGGACTAACTGGAGTGCAATTTGGCCAAATCCACTAAGTACCATAAAAACTTTACACTGGTGGCGCCTGGGTGGCTCAGTCGTTAAGCGTCTGCCTTCGGCTCAGGTCATGATCCCAGAGTCCTGGGATCGAGCCCCGCATCGGGCTCCCTGCTCCACGGGAAGCCTGCTTCTCCCTCTCCCACTCCCCCTGCTTGTGTTCCCTCTCTGACTGTGTCTCTGTCAAATAAACAAACAATATCTTAAAAAAAAAACAAAAACCTTTACACCCTTTGGCCCAGCAATTCTACTTTCTGGATTGATTCATATGCAATTAATTAGATTCATGTAAGGGATTTACATAAACATTTATGCGAAAGGATTTCTTCTGCATTATTTATAAAAGCAAAAATTTATTTTACACTTTGAATGTATAATTATATGGGAATAGACTGTGCTAATTCAAGTGATGGAAGAGTATGCAATCACTAAAAATCATGTTTTGAATACTTAATTCTATGAGAAAATGTTCAGTATACAATATTAAGTGAAATATGTATGATAATTCCAATGTATTACAAATATGCACACAAACACAGTAGAAGAAAATAATCGAAAATAGTAATAGGGCTACCTGGTGATGACTGAATTACAATTAGCTTTTCACTTCCTCCATTATATATTTCTATATTTTCTCAATTACCCACAATGCACACTGTAATTTTTATAATTTAAAATAAGAAATGCTCCTGCTATTACATTCTATTCAATATTTTCATTACTAAAAGCTCCTCTTTTTATTTCAAAATAGCTCTAGGGACACCTGGGTGGCTCAGTCGGTTAATTAAGCAGCTGCCTTCGGCCCGGGTCATGATACCAGGGTCCTGGGATCAAGTCCCACATCAGGCTCCTTGCTCAGCAGGGAGCCTGCTTCTCCCTCTCTCTCCCTCTGCTTGTACTCTGTCAAATAAATAAAATCTTAAAAAAAAAAAAAAAAGCTCTATAATCCTCAAGGACATTTTTACAGATCCTAACTGGGAATTTAAGTTCTAGTTCTTACATAATGTTGTCACTATTTTCTATACTGCTATTTTCTTTCTCTTTTTTTTAAGAGTTTATTTATTTATTTGACAGAGAGAGAAACAGCAAGAGAGGGAGGGAACACAAGCAGGGGGAGTGGGAGAGGGAGAGGCAGACTTCCCACGGAGCAGGGAGCCTGATGCGGGGCTCGATCCCGAGACTCCGGGATCATGACCTGAGCCGAAGGCAGACGCTTAACGACTGAGCCACCCAGGCGCCCCAATTTTCTATGCTGCTATTTTCAAAACAAAGGGGAAGCAGGGCATAATAGATTAACACTGAAAGCTCCAACTGAATACTGGCACATATGTCAAGTTTAAAGAAATTTAAATTATAGCCCTATAAAGTACGAACTTCAGAGGAAAATGTATAATATTGGTATTGACTGCAATTTGGATTGAAGACAGAAAGAGACATGGAGAAGCCAGCCATTCTAAATAGTTAGAAAGTGACTTCTGATCATTTCCATCAATTATCAGATGAAAGGCAACCTGAATTTCATTAACTGGAAAAAAAAGAAACTTGAAATCCTTTTGAAAAATGTCTTTCCTTTTTGAAAATGTTCTTTGTCATACAATGATCTTATTTATGAAATTTGTGTTCTTAAACCACATGAATTCACTTGCTGACTGGAACACAGATAGATTACATGCAGAAGGTTGAATATAAATATTATTACTTGAAACAAAGAAAGTCAGGGCGCCTGGGTGGCTCAGATGGTTAAGCGTCTGCCTTCGGCTCAGGTCATGATCCCAGGGTCCTGGAATCGAGTCCCACATCGGGCTCCCTGCTCCTTGGGAGCCTGCTTCTCCCTCTGCCTCTCTCTCTCTCTGTCTCTGTCTCTCATGAATAAATAAATTAAAAAAAAATCTTTAAATAAAAAAAGAAACAAAGAAAGTCAAAGTAATCAATTAACCTTAGATTATTGTAATTAAGAAGTCATTTTGTTGATAAAAAATTATGTAGAATCAAGAGACAGCTGCTAAAACTGGTAAATCTTTCTTAATGACCCAATGACTGGCTCAGAGTTTTGCCAAAGATGTTTGATAAAAAGCCAAGAAAACTATTGACTAAACTGTTCTATGCAAACATGTATGACTATAAACAAGGTTTCATCAATTTCAATTGCAGATGAATGATAAAAATGACAAATCTTGTATTTACTAGTTTATGTTCATTTTCTTTTTTTTTTTTGAAAGATTTTTTTTTTTTATTTGGGGGGGAGAATAGGGGTAGAGAGCACGAGAGGGAAGAGGGTCAGAGGGAGAAGGAGGCTCCCGGCCGAGCAGGGAGCCGGATGTGGGGCTCAATCCCAGGACCCTGGGATCATGACCTGAGCCGAAGGCAGACGCTCAATGACTGAGCCACCCAGGCGCCCCTATGTTCATTTTCAAAAACTCTGTTATTTTATTACTTTTCAGAAAAGGGAAGTCATTAACTGTATGACTAAGAGTGATTTAATTTGTATAGCTAGCTTTTAAGACTTTTCCTATAAAGCCATGAGTAAGAAAAAAAATTTCACTGTTAGATCTTGTGTCCCAATTTTTGTTTTTCATAAAATGTAGTCCAAAAGAATGGATAAAAATTAATTTTACAATAATGAACAGCAAAAGTCAGTGAAGAAAGAAAAAGCAGTATGATGAATGCTGCTGAGTCAACTGATCAGCTAATTGGGAAAAATAAATTTAGATCTCCATCTCATGCCATTCATCAAAGTAAGTTCCAAACAGATCAAAGAGTTAAACGTTTGGGGGGAAAACTTGTAAGAAGAAAAATTTTTATCTGCTCTCTAACTGAAGAAGGATTTAGCTTAAAGACATACATAACCACAAAGGAAAAGATATAGATTGGAACACATATCCCACCTGGTAATTGGCCCAAGAATATGAGCAGAGGATTTACCAAAGAAGAAACAAAAATAAGTACTAAAATATGAAAAATGTTTACCCTAATATTCAAAGAAATACAAATTAAAACAAGGTGCTATTTTTTAGCCTCAAACTAGCAAAGATTTTTCAAAATGAAAACAATACTATTCTAGTGAAATGTATGTGAGAAAAAAGCAAAACACTCATTCCTGCTGATTTAGGGTGTAAACTGGTACCACTCTTTCTAAAAACTCAATTAGCAACAAATAATGAGCCATAAAATGTTCACACCCTTTGATATAGTAATCCATTTCCAGGAATCTTGAGACAATCTAAAATGAGGATAAAAATTTACACACAAAAGTGTTCATTACGGTGTTATGGGTACTAGCAAAAACTCTGAGGTAAATTAAATAAACCTGGAAATCAAATAAACTTGTATAAATAACTTGGGACTGCTTAATTAAATTATGGTATGCTTACAGGATGGGTAGCATCATATTATTAAAAATTTTCTTCACAAAAAAATTTTAAATTGGGGGCACCTGGATGGCTCAGTCAGTTAAGCGTCTGCCTTCGGCTCAGGTCATGATCCCGCGGTCCTGGGATCAAGCCCCACATCAGGCTCCCTGTTCAGCGAGGGGAGTCTGCTTCTCTCTCTCTCTCTCTCTCCCTCTACCCCTCCCTCTGCTCCTGCTCTCTCTCTCTCAAATAAATAAATAAAATCTTTAAAAAGTTTTTTAAATTGTATAGAAATGCCTATGATAAAAAGTTACATGACAAGATTCAAAATTAAATCCATGTGGCATGACACTTAAAAGTTTTACAATATACACACACCCTCATAAAATTTCTATTAACCTGCTCGTTTTATACTATTGTGAGAAAATGGCTGGACTCTCTGAATTTGAAGGGTGGACCTAAAAGACAGGGTCCATGCCACACAAATAATTCACTTTGTGGCTGCTGAAGGATTACGCAGTCATTCTCCAGAAAAGATTTGGGCATCAACTATGATTGAACCATTGCACACTTGAACTGTATACAGCTTGGTCAAAGGAAGTAAGAGCAGGAATTTAACAGTCATTACTGATTACTGATTCCTCTGAGCAACAAAGGACCAGCCAGCAAAATTTATATGTATGAGTGCAAGATGCAAGTGCCCACACACATTTACTTAAAAAGCTAGAAAGAGGGGCACCTGGGTGGCTCAGTCGTTAAGCATCTGCCTTCGGCTCAGGTCATGATCCCAGGGTCCTGGGATCAAGCCCCGCATCGGGCTCCCTACTTTGCGGGAGGCCTGCTTCTCCCTCTCCCACTCCCCCTGCTTGTGTTCCCTCTCTGTCTCTGTCAAATAAATAAAATCTTTAAAAAAAAAGAAAAAAAAGCTAGAAAGAAATATCCCACAATATTGGCAGTGGTTTTCTGATATTCTAGAACTGTGCAAAGATGGTAGACATTAGACACTCAAATTCCTTCCTCCAGTCAAACTAGTCATGTTGTCCACGGGCTCAAGAGCCACGTGTAAGTAGTGGCTATCATTTTAGACAGCAGAGACAGAACATTTCTATTGTCCCACAAAGTGCCTTTGGACAGCACTATTCTACAAGATTTCTATCTTCTTCTCCATACTTTTTCCAAATGTGCTACAATATGCTGTGTAGTAGATTCCTCTTATAAACGGGGGCGGGGTGGGAGGGAACACCATGAGAAAAGAAAATGAGGTTAACAGAGCAAACACTTACACTAGAGGTGTAGGGGATGCATACTCTAGAGAAAACCCCGGGGAAGAATCTGGGGAAAAGCAGAAGGACACAGGCACTGTGGGAAGAACAGGAAGGGCCAGAAAGAGACATGGGAATAACAGGCATTGCAAGGAAAGGAAAGAAAGGACACAGTAATTCCAACAGCAGGGGTGGGGAAGGAGGCAATTACAGCAAGGAGCCACAGGTTCTGGGCTCTCCCCACTCACCAGCCATTACAGCTGCTGACCGCTGAGCTGGCTCAAAAGGACATTTCCCCCGGCCATTCTCAAGTCTTTCAACCTGCTGGAAACTGGACACATCCTACAGACCAGAAGGGGGCAATTGGTTTAGGGTCACGGAGAGGCTCCCGGTGAGAATTACAAAGATGGTCAGATGAAGGAAATGCCCAATTTCCATTCATCTCCCATTCATCCGCTACCATCCCCATAACTCCCAGTCTGCTGTTCCTGATTCCCCCACCTATTCCGGCATTTCCCATCTCTGCCATCCCCCTTTTCATCAGTTTATTCCTCTTCCCTCCATTCCCCTAGTACCAACACCCACATGTCCTGCTGAAGGAACCCCGTGGATGGCCCTAGAAGACACTAAGAGGCCAAGAGGCAGATCCTTCCTCCGAAATGCTAGGGTTTGCAACTGGCTGGGGACTATATGACAGGACAAGGAGGACAAAGGGAAGAGAGGAGGCATCCGGAGGAAGGGTAAAAAAGAGTGCAGGCTGATATAAGATCATCTGAAGCCCAGGGGCTTAGAGAGAGGGGCCGTCCTCCCCCTACTCTTACCCCAAAGATAAAGGACAGGACCAGAGTCAGGGATACATAGAAAGGGGGAAGGGAATCTGCAAAGTTAGCAAAGATCTGAAATTCAGGTCAGAATTTGAGGATTTGTCAAGTAACTGCCTTCTTCATTCAGGGACCACAGCAGGACTGACCTGGACAGGAGGCGAGAGATGTAGGAGTCCACCAGGGCCAGCCAGAAGTTACCTTACCTGAGCACCCAGCACTAAGACAGCCTTCAAGATAACATCTAAAAATGGAAACCGGGGATGACTTCAACCGGACACTGGCAGGGAAATTAACTGTGGCTGGTTAGGAATCAAAGTTATGGCATGAAGAGCCAGACACAATACCTCTAGCTCACTAGGGAGGGCATATGGTGTTGCTGGAGCCTAATTACACTGATGGTGGTTGCAGTAGCCACACAGATATATATCCCCCGAGTATAAGTATACTATGGGCCCATTCTGACCACTCATCTATTAACTATAGTCAGGAAATAAGGTTTTGTTTTACCAAGAGAGCCTTGAATAAGGCCTGTTAAAATAAGATGTGATCTGAGGTCCCCTAAAAGGGAACATGGGGCCAAGAGAGTCTTCTGGAATGAGGGACCCTACAGGGGCACAAGCATCTCACCTGTGTGGCAGTGGGAGCAGCCTAGCCTGAGAAAAGAGATGGATGACAGCTCAGTGAGAGATTACTAAGACGTCTGGGAACTCTGAACAAAGGTTAATACGTGTTGCGGTGGCTCTTCCTACCTCTCACCTGAACTACAGCAGTAATCTCCTCCTCTCCACACTGCCTAGCCTTGCCCCCAATTTGCTCTGCAGATTAATATTCCTACAGTATCAGTCACTGCCTCGATAAATTTTTGAGCAAGAGAGTGACAAAATGGCTCACCATTGCCTAGAATACAAACCTGTTAGCCCAAATTACTTCCTTTCTAATACTGCTCAAAATGAACACTTTCTTCCAACCAGACCTGGATGCTTGTTATTCCCAGAAAACAAATCATGCTTTCCCATCCCTGTGCCTAAGACTACTCCCTTAACATTTCACCAAGCACTCCTTTTCTCAGTGTTCAACCTGGGGCATCTGATATTTTTGATTCACTCCCTCCTTCAAATATTCTGTCTTGATTCTCTTGGAAGCCTACCATCCTCCCCCTACCTAACTGTTGCTTCTCTATCTCCTTTGGTTGCTTCTATTTTCCTTTCTAGCCCCTAACTGTGTAAGCATCTATCCTTAGTCCTTGTCATATATACTTCAATGACCTCACCCATTCTTACATTTCCAGTTAGACTTCCTATGCAAATTATTCCCCAAATTCTCTGAAAGTTTGATGCCTTCCAATCTCTGGTCTGTGTTTGGACTTGGCTGCTGGACTTCCTCACAGAGATGGCCTATCAGCCCCTTAAAACTCAGTATGCAAAACGAGTCCTCATCCAGTTTCCCCAAATGGCATCACTGTATTATGTAGGTTTATAATTTTTGAGCAAGTGAGGCTCCTATTAACTAGATAGGTTATGATTACTGTTTTGTCAAAATGACATTTAATTAGGGTCTGAAGGGGGTAAGACTACTCCACTACAGTCTCTGTCTGAATGTTGAGATTCCTCATTGTATCAGCAGTTATGGTGAAGGCAAGTCCCTCCAGCTGAAAGACAGAGAGCTAGGCAGGAAGGCTCTCACTGAGCGGTAGGGCTGGAATCCATCCTTTGGCTTTGGCCAAGAAGAGTACAAGAGAGACAAAGGACCTTCCCCAGGTGGTTAGGGGGGAAAAAAAGAAAAGATGGTCCCTGTCACATGAAACAGGACAAATGTCACAAGACACTGAAACCAGATAAGGTCTTCTCTGCTGCAGGCTGGACTAGAAGATCAGGGTTCTGGGGCAGAACCAGACACAGCTGGATTTAAATCTTGGCTCTGCCTCTGCCAGCTACATAATATTGGACATGGTACCTAACTTTCTGGAACTTCCATTCCCTTGCTTGTAAAATGGATATAAACAATACCTAAATATCACAGTGGGGTGCTAAGAACTAAATCTCGAATGTAAAGTCCCTAGTACCACGCCTGGGACAGAGTACATCTTCAACTGAATGGGAAGTCTTGTCATTGCTATTGTTAAGTCTAGCATTTTTCTCTGTTAACTGCTAGGACTCCCTCAACAAAGCAAACTAAAATATTTTACTCCAACATCCAATGAGCTATCACTGAATGGCAGCACTCCACATTGTCAGAGCTGGTGGGTCCAGTGCTTGAATTGCCTTTTGTAAGAACCTTTGTTTCTCTGAGCAATCAACTCTGAGTGAGTTGCTGTGTCTGGATCAGCAACTCAAAGCTCTCACATAATAGTTATACATGGTCTCAAAGTCATCAGTCTGGGACATGAGAGGTTCAGCACTAAGGACAAGGCAAGAATTTGCTTAAACAGACAGGAGGTGCTAGGTAGCAGGATCAAACAGTAAAGGCTTGAGAGCACTGAAGAAGTCTAGAGGGCAGTCTAGTATATGGCCTGAAGAGTTAACACAGCTGATTTGGGGGGCAGGGGGCTGTGCCCTATATTCTCCTACAAACAAGCCTTGACCAAAGGATGGTTCTTCATTTCATACACCTGCTAGATAGGAGAGTTCAGAGAAGGAGCTAAAAGTCATGGGAGGAAAAAGGCAGACCCCTCGCTCCACTCTGGTTGCTGATTTTTCTCAGGAATGGATAGGAGTCCAATCCTGACAGGATGTACAGAACATTTTATGTCTATAGAATATAACAACCATTAGAGTCCCCTCACAGAGCCAAGGCAGAATAGAAGGCTCTAGGAGACTAACTTGAAGTGATCATGTTGTCTATAAGCCATGGCACCGGTATTTACACCCATGGGTTCCCCAAGTGTGTGCAGACTGGAAAAAGACCTATATGGCAATGGTAGTTCTACCATTACTTTCCGAGCTTTGTGAGAACTGTAAGGAAACCAAACCCTCAACATCACCTGATGGGTTATAGAGATTTTCAATACCACCCTGAACTGGAAACCTTCCCAAGAAAAGGAAGGTATCCACACACCCTGATGGAAAGTCTTTCATCCACATTATGAAAAAGACTCAACAAAAACCCAACTAATCTCAGGGACAGCCCAGAGGGACTGACTAGGACAACAAAGCATATACAATTATAGCATTCAAAGCCAGAGATATGAGGATCGTCTTCAACATGGAGGGGTTTGGACGTACACACTGATGAGATCCGGGTGGCAAGCAGTAAGTACTCCAGTTTGTAGAAGGGTCAAGTCAAAATCTACGGTTAAGAACCAGGGCCAGGAAAGGGAGTCATTGCACTCCTCCTATTGCTCCTTGGAGCAGAAAAGGAAGCCAATGAATACAAAGAACATGGGAGGCTTCTGATTCATCCTAGATTCTTGTCACAAGTGTGTGCTGGCAGAGGACCAGTGACTGACTATTGGATAACTGATGGGAAAAGCTGAGAGTTCAAAAACATTAAGACCTTCCTGAGATGCCACCAGTCCCATTAACTCCAGAAGCCATGACTGGCCTAGAGATGATCAGGAGTATACGTGTCCCAAACCTGCCTGAGCGTGAGGGTGGAGATGCCCAGGGCTCCAGCAGCAATGAACAGGATCTAGAAGAAAAGGTGACTGACAGAGTGCCCACTTTGAAGGCAAGATCCAAGTACTATATTAGTGGGCAGTGACCTCAGAAGCCATGAGAGCAGAGGGTCACAGCTCACACAGAATGAAGTTGGCAGTGGAGGTGGGAGAAGGGGGTGAGAGACAGTCACATGCTGTGGGAGGAAGAAGCAGGCATGGATTGTGCTGAATAAGAAATGGACCTAGGCTGCCTAGACAAACCATACACAGAGCAAAGGAAACAGGAGTTACTGGCCTCTAAAGTCTCTCCTGGATTTATCCTCTCCCAGGCCTAGCTAGCGTCTCTAACTCCCTTCACCATCCCTCTTCTCTCTCTACACTCTGTATACCTCACCTTCCACAGACAACCTCCCTCCCCCTACCTTTCCTACCTCCCCCTTCCGTGGCAGACAAAGGCTCCACCCTGTGAGGACATCCCTCACCCCCAATGTGTATCATGCACAAGTGTGGCCTTAAGCATGCCCCCCATCAGGGTCACTCATAGAAGACCCTTCCCATCCTCCCACCCATCACTCACAATAACCCCGCACTTCGGATCAAAAGCGAAGGTGCCACAAGTGAGGAGGTGAGAGGCATTGGCAATGGCGAGAATCTGGACAAAATTGTGACATTCGTCCTGGGGGTCAGAGATGGTTAGAGATAATCAGAAGCAGCAGGTACAAGGAAAGGCAAGGTAGTGTCAGGACAGTTAGATGCAGCTCTGGGATCAGAGATGACAGGTAATGACATGGTGTTAGAGTCCCTGCCTGGGCCCACTGGGATGGGAGCACTGCAGGGGACAGACACAGAGTCAGGGCTGGGACTAGGTCTCAAATGACACTCAGGATGGGGACAAGATTCACACCTACCTCCTTCTTGCCTTTCTTCCTACAGTTCTGTCTGTGGGCCTCAGGCACCATCCAGTCAATCTGAGAAGGAGGAATAATTGTTTCTCCCAGATTTTCCCCAAATTCCTCCCAAGTCAGGGTAGTTAAAACAGTTCCACGACCTTCATCAATTTGAGAACTGCAGAGCCCCCCACCCCCCCCCCCACCACCCACCAATTAGAGCATTGTTTTTCAAACTGGATGTCTCCATCCATTAATGAGTAATGAAATCAATTGCTTTTATTTTTAATGAAATAAGATATATCAGAATATATCACACATAGGAGAGTAGATACTCTTTCAAGAAAGGGTTCTTCCAATACACACTTCCTGTCCTAGGTCAAAATGTATCCAATATTTCTTACTAAGGGGTGGTCAAAAAAGCTTAAAAGCTATTGCCCTAAAGAAATGTGATTCTAATGATTCTTCTGCCCACTATGACCTGAAACCTGGTCACTGTGGCCTCCTCCCTATCATGAACCTCCCTCATAGCCTCCCCAGTCACCATGACCACAACCCCATCACCCTTAGCAAAGATAACGAATATTCTATGTGCATTTTCACCAACACTCCCCCTCCCGCCCCCCCGTTACATATTTGGTTATTATGAACAACCCCCCCCCACCAATCCCATAAAACTATGTATCTAATCACATGCTCTGGAGTCCTCCCCACTTCCATCTCTCACCCTGCGGGGTCTCTCCCCTGAGAAGGGCAGGGATAAAGCAAAGATGGTGTCCCGGGCGCCAACATAAAGTATATGGGAAGCAGGATCCACAAGGAGGACAGAGTAATTGTATGTCTGCGGGACAGTGAACCGCGTGAGGTAGGAGTCAGCCTCTGGCAGGAAGAGAGGGTGAGGAGAGAGTGATATCAGTCATTGCTTCATAAGGGTTGGGTCCACAAGGGCAAAACCCAAGGGCTCAATTTCTGTTTTCTTCCAAGTACTATTTATTTAGCAGCCATGAGGGTGAAAAACAGAGCTTTGACAGGCCAACCATCTAACCTCCCCAAAGAGAGAGAACTGAGAGGCCAGAATATTTAGCACACAATGCAGTCAAGTATGCTTTTTCTATAAAAATAGAACACTTTATTAAAATAACAGCATAAATATTAAGTCTGTAATTTCTATTCATAGCAATATGATACATAATTTGAAAATACCTATAGAAGGTACAAGTAGTTTCCTCTCCAAATTTATTTTTTTTTAATCACTACTTATTAGTAACTTCTTACTTAGAAGGGGAACAATTCACTCTCTTCACCAACACTTTAGGAGACTATCCCCTGTCTCTCCCACTGCTGTTGTCCTCCCCAACCCCACCCCATTTCCACCCAAGGAGTTGGCAAGAGTATGTGCTTTGGAAACAGATCAGCCCGAGTTTAAATGTGGCTCTTTCACTTACCAGCTCTATGATCTTGAGTAAGTTACTTGCCCTGAGCATCACTTTCCTCATCTGTAAACACCAACAACCAGGCTTGTTGACAGAATTAAATGAGATAACATATGTGGAAGCAACTGACATGTACAACATGTTTCAAAATGGCTCCTTTCTTTCTTACTTAGACATGTGCTCCATATGGGCCAAACCTAAACTTCATATCATCATTCAAAACTCTATTTAAAGATTATGACAGGGCGCCTGGGTGGTTCAGTTGGTTAAAAGTCTGCCTTCAGCTCAGTTCATGATCTCAGAGTCCTGGGATTGAGTCCCACATTGGGCTCTCAGCTCATTGGGGAGCCTGCTTCTCCCTCTGACCCTCTCCCCTTTCATGCTATTTCTCTCTCTCTCTCTAATAAATAAATAAAATCTTTAAAAAAATAAATATTATGACAAATAAGTTAGCATGACTTTACCTTCTTAGCTCACTCTGGGGCCCCTATCCCTGCACCAACACAGCTCTGGTCTACCTGCTTCATCTGCTCAGCCACCCTCAAGACAGGCAGAATGGCTCCAAGCCATTCATTCCCAGTTGTGCTGATGTATGGGGCCCCACCCACCCCATCCTCCCACAGACTCATGTCTATGCTGTACCTGCCTATTCTCTCATGTTCATTATAAGCCCTGGAACACCCAATCTCCCTTCATCCCCCGCTCTGTTTCACCTTGCTATCTAGACTTCTCTGAATTTCTGGTTATCAACCCAGGCATGCAACCGCAATTCTATTTTGTGGCTATTGCCCCAACACAAACAAACCCCAGTCTCTGACCACAGCTTTGTCTTCTGGATTCGTAGCAACCCTACATGTCACTAGTCTGAAGTTTAAACTCTATATTACTATTACCCACTTGTGAGGTTTTGCCAACAGGTTGTCCTCTCAGCTTCACTGGTTCTCTGCACAATGTGCTAACACTCACTGTCCACTGAGAAGAAAACAAGGTCAGTGGCCATGCTCATGCCCACTTCAGGAGACAGCACTGAAGTGTGAATCACTCCAATGACCGTTTTTAACCTTGTGGCATCTCCTGGCTTCTTCCACATCTTTTGAAAGGACCAAATCTCCTTCCTCCTTTTTTTTTTTTTTCCTTCTGAAGATTTTAGAAATCATTTAAACAGAATTTTAAATCAACTCACTCAACGGTTTCTCAACACTCAATGTAGGGAACGTGTAGAGAGAGCAGGCAATGCTTAGGAGTTAAGAGGGTTAGGATGGATCATGGATCAGAGAATGGGAGTTGTGTCTGAGCTGGGAGAGGCCTGGGAAGTGAGTTAGGGAGAGGAGGGCTACCAGAAGGGCAAAAAGCTTGCAGGGAGATATAAATGATGATAAGGGAATGGATTTGAGAAGTGGGCAGATGGAAATGCCGAGCTGGAGAAGGATGGGTGGTTGGAGGAGAATAAAAGGGCAATGACTTTGGAAGAAGAACGGGTGTCAAGCTGGTGTGAGGGACACAGGTGTATGTTTGGGAAGACAGAATAAGGGAGAGAGAACTCCGAAATGGACGACCTCAGGAAACCCCCATTCCCTCCCTGGGCCTCAGTGTCCGCGTCTGCACGGTGAGGGGCTAAACCCACCCGCGGTTCTGCGAGTAAGGGGCCGCGAGGGCCGCCTGGCCGTGTCTTGGGAGCCGAAGCGCGAGACGGGAGAACGATGCGGTGGAGCAGCACCGCGTGGGGGTCCCGCCCTGGTCCTGCCGGGGCGTGGGCGGCGCGGGACGCGATGCGCTGCGCCGAGAGGCCCCAGGGCGCCTGCCCGGGTCCGTAGAGAGGGTAGGTGGGTGCGGGCACCTGCAGGCGGGGCCTGGGCGCCATGCGAAGGGCTGAGGGCGAGGGCGCCCACGCCTTACCGGAGATAGGAAGCGAGGTCCTGGGCACCGAGCGGGGGACGCGGCCGGATACCGGGCCGCTCAGCATCGCCAGCAGCAGCAGCGGGAAGGGCAAGGCCGGAGGCGGCTGGGAGCCCAGGAGGGGCAGCGTGGCAGAAGCCAGCATCTTTGGCTCCGCCTGGCCACTGGGTGGGGCGCGCCCTGCCACCTCCGCTCAGAGCCGCCCGGCCGCAGGCCTCGGCCCCACTCGGGTCTCCTCGGTCCGGTTCGGCCTGCGTCGGCCAGACGAGAACGCAACCTGGCTCCGCCCCTGCAAGAAAGGACTAATGATCTAGCCGATTTCCTCTTCCAGCCAATCGAAGTTGGGTGGAGGCGGAGCTAAGGAGCGGAGAAGCCCAACCCAGGTACAGGCGGAGTTAGACCTAGGTATAGGTGAGAGTTCTACTTTGGAACCAGGCTGGAGGTGTGGCTCCAGGTCTTCCAGAGGCGGGTTGGTTCAGTCGGCTCCAAAAGCTCAAATGCCCGTTATCTGTAATAATAGGAAAAATATGTGTGTAATGGGTACACACACCAAATTTCTCAAAAGTATTATTTTAGCAAGCATTTAACAAATAACTGCAAACAGATAATTGCAATGCAAAATGATTTATGTTTGCTATATAATAATGTGAAATAAATGCTCAGAAGATCTAGGTTTTGCCTGAGCAAATCAGGAAGGTTTCACAGAAATGACATCTGACCTGAGTGTTCAAGGATGAGTAGGCCTTTGACAGCAGGCAAAGACTACCTATGGATATATCCACTTGGAAATCCTACAGACATAACAAACACAGAGCCTGAAAATAACTCGCTATCTCCCCCATCCCAACCCCTCCCTGCTCCTCTTTCAAGCACTTAGTGCTCCAATTTATAGCCTTGCAGGTAGTCTTTGCTTTCTCCTCTTTCATCCCCCACTCTTTGGTTATCTAGGCTACATAACAAATGCAACAAATTAACATCAAAATTTAGTGGTTTAAAACAATAAACATTTATTATCTCTCACAGTTTCCCTGTGTCAGGAATTCAGCAATAGCTTAGCTGAGTTGTCTAGCTCCCAGTCTCTCAGCTTATAGTCCTGGGACGCCTGGGTGGCTCAGTTGGTTAAGCACCTGCCTTCAGCTCAGGTCATGATCCCAGGGTCCCGGGATCCAGTCCCGCTTCGGGCTCCTTGCTCAGCGGGGAGCCTGCTTCTCCCTCTGCCTGCCACTCTCCCTGCCTGAGTGCGCTCTCTCTCTCTCACTGACAAATAAATAACTAAAATCTTAAAAAAAAAAAAAAAAAGAGCTTATAGTCCTGATACTAGATGGGGCTGCAGTCATCTGAATGTTTGACTAGGGCTGGACGATCCACTTCCAGGATGGCTTAGTTCCATGCCTGGCAAGGTGATAGTGGCTGTTGGCAGTAAGCGTCAATTCCTTTCCATATGGACCTCTCCATGGGGTTGTTGGAATGTCCTCAGAATATAGTGTTACTTCTTCAGAGCGAATGATCCAAAAAAAGCAAGGTGAAAGTCACAATGTCTTTTATAATCTAGCCTCAAAAGTAAAATATAGTAACTTCTGCCATATTCTTTCAGTCCTACAGGCCAACCCTCATGCACTGTGGGTAGGGACTACACAAGAGTGGAATACAAGGATTGCAGGGGTCCATCCTGGAGGCTGGCTACCACATCCACATGTAAGCAGTCATCATGTCCTGTTAATACTGCCTCATAAATAACTTAAACTTGTCCTTTTCTTTCCATTATTGTCAGAGTTCAGGACTTTATTATTGCTCACCTAGACGATGCAATAGTTTCATTTAAAACAACATCAACAAAACCTGCCTCCAATCTCTCCCTTTTCATATTGCCATCAGGGTAATCTCTCTAAAGTGCACATTCTGGTTTATTCATTCAATATTATTAAGGACCTACTATATGCTAGGCATTTTTAAAGTACCAGAGGTAAGAAGATTAAAATATGGTTTCTAGTGCTCCCTTGGGCAGCGCATATACTAAAATAGTAACAATACAGAGAAAATTAGTATGGCCCCTGCACAAAGACACACAAAACATGGCTCCTGAATTCAAATTGCTTAGTCTAGAAGGGAAAATAGACATTTGACATTGATACAGCAAGCTACCAGGACACTCCTCTATCTCCACTGGATTTTGTCAAAGAGACTGTAGGAATCAACAGCAAGCAAATGAGAATGAGCATGAGTAGGGAGGGGCAGACCCTCTTGGAATGTAAAGGTTTGAAGACTTGAAAGAGCTTCTTGAAAGTAGACTAAACTCCATGAGGGCAGGGACCATTGTGTGTCCACCAAACCCCAATGTTAGCACAGTGCCTGGCACATAGTGTGCCCTCAACAAGTATTTATTGAATAAAAGAGTGACCGACTGAGTAAGTGAATGAACGATGTGAAAGAGAAAGGTTAAAGCTAAGGACACAATGGGGGTGCCACTGGAATGTCGGGGGGGGCGTTACTGGAATATTTCATTGGGGTTGGGAGTTAGCTAACGAGGAAGTGTCAAGTTTAGCATAACATCCTCAACAGAGATCCAAAACTCTATCTCAGGGCCAAAGTAGGGCTGGCGCCCAAGGACTTGGAGATTGTGGTGCTGAGGTAGAGCCTGAGGCGGCCCCTGAAGCTGCGCGCGCAGTGAGCAGCCCCGCGCAGCCGCCGTCCGCCTGACGGGGGCGCCTTCCGCGGCGCACGCACACTCCGATAGCCCGGGGAACCAGGTAATGGGGGTTTGGCCTTCCCAGGGAAGGGGGAACACCCTTACTTTTCCCTGCCTCTGGGTAGGAGGAGGGCTGAGGGCCTCAGCGGGAGGCCGGCCCCGAGAGCGCGGCGGAGAGCGCCTCGCAAGTGGGCTTGGGCCGAGCTCGGGCCGCCCTCAGACAGGTTTTGGCGGTCCAGGCCGGGGCAGTACCGACGCCCACTGGTTCTGACCCCCCGCGGGCCCGAGCCACCCCTCCGCGCACGTGTTTGAGGACCGCGACGCCACCTCAACTGGGCCTGCGCTCCCAGGCCTGAGGGCTGGCCTACCAATCCGCCAGGCGCGGTAGATACCGCGCCTAGACCCCGCGACGCCTGGGGGGGCCGCGACAATGTTTGAACCTCTTGTAAAGTCAAGAAAACAGTGACCCTTTAGGGTCAAAGAACATGTTTTGATTTTTTTCTTATATCAGAGAAAATGAAAGTTTTAGGGCCCACGAAAATCTTAGTTGATTTTTACTTATTTATTTATTTAAATGAGGAAGTGCTTCACGAAGGCAAAAGTGCTTAGGATCCAAGAAATTTTTAATGCGGCCCTGCGGGAGGGAGAACCATTGAATCATTTATCAGACACAGTGTCATAAGGGCTATAAAAGCATAGTATAGGCACTTTTGTGAGGCCACGTAAAGGGGCCCTAACCTATAAAGACCTAAAGTCAGAGACCTAAAGGATGAGTAGGGGTTAAGGAGGGTAATGATGGAAAAGAACTTCCAGCAGCTTCAGGAGCCACAATGAGAGGCCCACGAGTTTGTGGACCTGAAAGGTGCCTCAGAGGTGGGGTAGGGTGGCATGGCATGAGGATGGAGACTTGGGAAGGATACATGCAGAACTTCGGAGCCAGGATAAGGATTTTGTTCCAAATGTAATTGGAAGCCATTGAAGGGTTTTTAGTAAGGGAATAACTTGATGGCTTTTGGTGGTTCAAGGTCCAGTTGCAGGTTTGACCAGTTTGCAGAGAGACACCAGTAAGTGAGTGTTTGGGCAAAAATGGAGAGTACAGGATCAAAAATAGTCAGATCCTGCTTAGTCCTATGCCCAGATGCATCAGATGCATGAATTGATCATGTTAGAGAGTAAAGGGAAAGAGCTGCCTCTTACCTCATTTGAAGTACAGTCTTGGAATTGCATACAAGTATGGGATCTAAAAATGACTTGTGCAAGCTAAAACCGTTCAAAGTGATCTTCATCAATGGGGAAAAGTTATATTTGTTCCAGGACCTTTCCCAAAATTGTCAAAATGTTAAAATCTGTCTTACTATCAGCTATAAGTGGGAAATAAAAAATAGTGAAACTAGTATCTATTCAGCATACTGTAATTTAAAACATTGAAAACATTGGATATCAGAATGGTCCTATTTCTTTGTAAAAAAAACAGTCAGATAAGCCTCTGTTCGGGTCATGATCCCAGGGTCCCGGGATCGAGCCCCACATTGGGCTCCCTATTCAGCAGGGAGTCTGCTTCTCCCTCTCCCTCTGCTACTCCCTGCCCCACCCCCGCGACTCATGCTCTCTCTCTCTCAAATAAATAAATAAAATATTAAAAAAAAAAACTGCCCTGAGATCAGAATTAAAAAAAAAAAAGAATAGTTTGAACAGTCTTTGTGCTTGTCTTCTTCTCATGGTATAACTTATGATCGAGCAAGCATCTTTTCTGTGCCTTAGTTAATTGTCATACTCCTTTCTAAGTTTGGATCAGCTTCCAACATAATATCCTTTGTACTTTCAATTTTGTAAAACAGCTCCAAGAGTTCCTTTAATATGAAGTTGTTTTGCTGGTGGCACTTTCTCTGGTCATCTTCATACTTTTTGTCACAACCACTTTCCCCATTTATGTTAAGTTTACCTTCACAAAGTCCTCTAGCTGCTTATCTAGAGTCTATCAAATGCTGGCATTGTCAGCATTCTTACAGTTAGCTTTTTCTTCTGTAACTCCATTTATATTCAGTTCAACTTTCACCACCTGTCATTTCTTTGCTACACTTTCATCTTGAAATGGCCAATTTTGGCAAATTCCCTCTTTTTTTTGTAAAATGTCACATGGGTTTATCACTAGCAGGCAAGGAGGTAAAACAACTACACACTTTATTGTCTGTGCTTAAACTGAATAAGCATCTGAAGGGACCAGTCACTGACAAACTTTGAAAAAAATGACATAACTGATCATTAGTCATGATGAGCATCTGTTCCTTCTGTAGTGATTTGTGGACTGAAGAGCTAGCTGTGATTTATATTTTATGTAATTACAGTTAATATTCCATGGTAACTGAAATTTGAACTATGTTGATGGGGACTGGTGTTAATTAACTAAACTGTAGTAAGAGATTTGTAAATATTGGAACCATGCAAACTTAGAACTGCCCATGCGCTAAAATAACAAGAGTTTCCGATGTGAGGGAAGATGGAGAGGGGAAGTAGAAGCTCATTCTACATTAAATAAGACCTCTGTCTGGGTACCTGTCTATGTGAATCTGTGTGTTAGTCTCAAATTCAGCATTACATTGATCCCATGCACTTAATTTAAAAGTACAGTTAAAAGATATTATGATATGTGCTTCCTTGCTGAATACATTAGTGATTGTTTTGGATTTCTAGTTCAAGATTACTTTTAATAGGTTAGCATATTTATTCACTTATTTGTTCAGCTGTACCCAACACATAATTGGAGCTCAATAAAAAATTGCTGAATGAACAAGTGCTGAGTTCCACTGACCAAAAAGGAAAGTCTGAAGGGGAATAACTTCACAGATTGATTTTGAGGAACACATTTATCAATGCACTCAATAGATCACTTTTCAAGATCCTAAATTCCAAAGTGTTTCTGAAAATTATCATAAATAATATATTTCTCTTGGACCTGGGGAAATCAAATAAGTTTTTATTTTCCCTGCATTCTTTAGCTAACAGGCAATTATATAGAATTATTTCAGTTCTCAGAGATAATTTTTTAATCTAAAAAATACTTTCTTTGGGGTACCTGGGTGGCTTAGTCAGTTAAGCATCTGCCTTCAGCTCAGATCATGATCCCAGGGTCCTGGGATCAAGCCCCCACAGCAGGCTCAGGATTGTGAGATCAAGCTCTGTGTCAGGCTCTGTACTAGTTGCGGAGCCTGCTTAAGATTCTCTTTCTCCCTCTGTCCCTCCCCCCCCAAAAAAGAAATTTGCGCTAGATTTTTGTAAACATATTTATGAGATTATTTCTATCTATTCCTAGTTTAAGGGTCTTTCTCATGCATGAATGTTAAGTTTTAACAAAAGCTGCTTTTGCATCTAATGAGATGATCATATTTTTCTCATTTAATCTTTTAATGTGATGAGTTACAGTGACTGTCTAACTTTATATCAACGTTTTATTCTTGCAATAAACCCAGCTTGGTCATGATGTGTTACTTATTTTATATATATTGCTGTTTTCCAATTTGTTTGTATCTTGTTCAGGATTTTTACATCTAGGTTTGTGGATGAGATTGCCCCATAATTTTCTCTTATAATATTCTTATCTGATTTTGGTATCAAAGGTTGTGTTAACCTAGTAAAACTAATAGAGCAGTAATTCCCCTCCTATTCTTGGAAAGACTTTGTTTAACATTGAAATTCTTGGTCTTTGAGAATTTGATGGAACTCATCAGTGGAATCATCCAGCCCTATAGTTTACTTTGTGGGAAGATATTTGACTACCAATTAAATTTCTTCAGTAGTTATAGGCTATTTAGGTTTTTTAATTTTCTTTTTGATCTAGTATTGGTTAGATATATTCTTAGAGTGATTTTTCCACTTTATCAGATTTATTGGCATAAAGTTGTTGGTTATATCTTTCCGTAATCCTTTCCATGTTTGAGCATTTATAAGGATGTTTAGATGTCCCCTTCTCATTCCTAATATTGGTTCTATGTTCTCATTTGTTCTCCTTTCTGAATCTGAGCCCTGGGGATAGGTGTGAGTAACCCAAAAGAAAGAAAACAAGGGTGTTGGAGACAGAGAAAACAGTACGAACAAACACACTGAAGTGAATGGTATATTTGGTTTTATTTCAGTGAAAAGCTTGAGGTGAAGAATAGCCTTCAATAAGGCTGAAGGTCAAGTCATAAAGGGTCTTGAATGGGTCTTGTGGGAGAAAACTTGGTCATATTTTTATTTTTAAGAATTACTATGTACCAAATAAACACTGTGCTAAACACTGACAGATAAAGTTGACAAGTTCTCCAGCCTTGGGAAACTCACAGTGTATTGGGGAGGCAGTCATAGAAACAAATTATAAAGTACAATACAATAAATGCTGATAAAGAAATAAAGTATATGAGAGCAGATAGCTTACTTTAAGACTAAAATTTGGTCTTTGTGTCTTTTTGTTTAGTTCCACTCAGCATCTGTAAGCACTCTCAGCCTTGCATTACAGGTAAACATCTAGGTCCCTTGGGAACTGTTAAGATGGGATAGCCTAGAGAAACTTGAGTTAGTACCCAGTCTGACTCCTTTCTGGACTTAGTCCTCTAGGCCTGTGTTCATCATTTCAACCAAGCATAATTCAGTTTTATGAAAGCCAGTGATTTCTCTTTCCTTCCCTGTAGGTATATAGAATATCCAGGTAGTGTCTACAGTTCCACCTCTGGTCTGGTTACCATGTATCATGGGCGAAGCACTGGTAAAGGACCCTCCACTCCCACGCAGATTTACCAGCAACCTCCAAGGCTTCTCATTGTGCAAACTGCTCTACCATCCTGGGCTGACATCTGCTCCAACCTCTGTGAGGCTCTGCAGAACTTTTTCTCTCTGGCCTGCAGCTTGATGGGCCCTAGCCGCATGTCCCTCTTCAGCTTATATGTGGTACAAAATCAGCACGAGTGCATCCTTCCCTTTGTGGTGAGTATATCTATATTTGATCATTTTACCCTGAAAACAAATAGGATTCTGGAGCAGAGATCACAGTTAGTATTACTTACAGCAATAACTGTGCCCATTCCTCACACTCAATACCCCACAGGCAACACAAGGAGAACCAGATGTCACCCTGCACATGAGGGGTTTATGTAGAGGCTGCTTTTAGGCAACAGACTTGAGCAATGGAAAGTTGATGAAGGCAGAAGGGCACACATCCACCACCTGACTGAAAACAGACCAGCCCATCAGACAACCCACCTCAAAATATCCATAAACCCTAACTGACCAATGGACTACTTATAACCAAGCACAGTTACCAAAACAGGGAAAATTCCATTCATCCCCATACATGCTCACCTTCCCGCTTTAAGTACAGCCCCACTCACTGCCTCCTTGCAGGCAGTCTCTCCCTTGCTGTCCTGCCCACTGCTTCCTTTGGGTGTATTTAATAAACTTCTCTCTCCTTTGTTCTGCCTCACACTGGCTTCCACCTGATCATCGCCCCACGTTTGGAGGTCCCATCTGATCGAGAGAGATACCACAGCTTATACTGCAGAAGAGGAACTCCAAAATTATTAATCTGAGAGTGTAAATAGGTCACATCTTGCCCCGCTCCACTCCTGAGATGGAGAGAAACCTTGGCATTTACAGTCCTTTGGAATGTAAGCAACTGACTCCTTTCATCCCTCTCTGAAATGCAAATACAGGGGAACAAGTCTAAGTGTCTTCAGAGGTCTCTGGCTAGTAAATCACCCTTTAATTTCCAACGCTTGTCCTTTAACCAAGGTTCTAGCTTTTTTTGATCAGAAAGCCTAACTGTGAAGACACATGAAAATATTTTCTCTACAGTTCCCTATAGGACTCAGGTGAAAAACCCCCTAAGATTTCAGAAAGCAAATACTGGGCCGGGGCAATGCTGTTTTTTGTTTTGTTTTTTTTTTTTAAAGATTATTTATTTATTTATTTATTTGAGAGAGAGAGAATGAGAGATAGAGAGCATGAGAGGGAAGAGGGTCAGAGGGAGAAGCAGACTCCCTGCCGAGCAGGGAGCCCGATGTGGGACTTGATCCCGGGATCATGACCTGAGCCAAAGGCAGTCGCTTAACCAACTGAGCCACCCAGGTGCCCACGGGGCAGTGCTTTTATGAAGCTTTTCACACATAGACAACTGTCTCTCCTCCTCCTCAAAGAAATGCAAATCTTCACTTATATAAAGTTCAGAATCACGGGGATGGGAAAGACTTCAGAGGTTCTAGTGCATCCCTTTCCTGAGGTAGCCTTGCTGCTGGGATAGTCAGAGAAGGCCTAGTGGAAAATCACAACTTTTATCCCTACCTAGTGGGAATAAGACCACCTCCCCCTAGGGTCTATGGGAACGACAACAGAGCCTGAACTCCCACCCACCTACCCAACATTAACAGGGTATCTCTGCCCCTCCCTGTGCAGATGGTGTCTGAGGAGACAGAGTGGAGGCCCTGTGGGAGCTGCAGTAAGGTGTGATGTCTCTCTCAATCGGATGGGGGCCCCCAAATGTGGAGCAAACTGATGCGGTGGAAGTGGACATGGGGCAGTGAAAGGATTCACCCAAGGCAGAAAAAAGGAGATAGAAGTTTATTGAATATATCCACAAGGGAGCAGGGAGCAGGGCAGCAAAGGAGAGACTGTCTGCAAGGAGGCAGCGACTGGGACTATACTAAAAGCAGGAAGGTGAGGAGGTATGGGGACGTATGAAATTTTCCCTTTTTTGGTAACTGTGCCTAGTTGTAAGTAGCCCATTGGTCAGTTAGGGCCTATGGATATTTTGAGGTGGGTCTCCTGATAGGCCTGCCTGTATTCAGCCAGGGGTTGGGGTCACTGTGGGCCCTTTTGCCTTGCTCTACATTCCATTGCTCAAGTCTGTTGCCCAAAAGTGGCCTACGTGAAGTACCTTTTTACCTCCAAGGCAGGGTGATGTCAGTGCAGGCCTAGTGGAAAGCCAGGACTTCTATGCCCATCTGACAGTAATGAAGTTTCCCCCATCCCAGGGTGTCAGTGGGAACCATGTAGAAAGCCTGAACTTCCACTCCTACCCAGAAGTAACAAGGCACCCTCTCTTCTGGGCTCAGAATCAGAAGCCAGATTCACACCCAACCTGGCTCACTTACCCCATTAGCACAGTATCAGGGGAGGCCTGCTAAAGCAGAAGATTTAAATAAGATCCAGAGTCCTATAATACCCAAAATGTCCAGAATACAATAAAAAGTCACTTGTTATATCAAGAACCGGAGGGGCGCCTGCTTCTCCCTCTCCCTCTGCCTGCCCCCCCTTGTACTATCTCAATCTCTCTCTCTGTCAAATAAATAAAATCTTAAAAAAAGAAAAGAAAAGAACCAGGAAAATCTCAACTTGAATGAGAAGACAACAGACACCAACCCTGAGATGACACAGATATTGGAATTATCTGAAAAAGACTTTGAAGCAACCACCGTAAAAATCTTTCAACAAGCAGTTATGAACATGCTTGGAAGATGGAAAAATAGAAAGTCCCACCAAAGAAAAAGAAGTGTAAAGAAGAGCCAAATAGACATTTTATTTTTATTTTTTTTAAGATTTTATTTATTTATTAGAGAGAGAGTGATCGAGAGAGAGAGAGAGAGCGAAGAAGGAGGAAGGGGAGGGGCAGAGGAGCAGGGAGCCCAACAAGGGGCTCCATCACAGGTCTCCAGGATCATGACCTGAGCCGAGGGCAGATGCTTAATTGACTGAGCCACCCAGGTGCCCCCAAATAGATATTTTAGAACTGAAAAATACAGTAACCAAAATTTTAAAAACAAAAATCTTCAATGGATGGCCTCAACAGCAGAATGGAGAGAAGAGAGAAAGGAATCAGTGAACATGAAGATAGAATAGAAATTCCCTGATCTGAGTAACAGAGAGAAAATAGACTTTGAAAAATGAACAAACCCACAAGGACTTGTAAGACTATAACAGAAGATCTAACCTTCGTGTCATCAGAGTTCAAGAGGAAAGGAGAAGAAGGACGGGGCTGAAAAAAATATTCAAAGAAATAATCACTGAAAATTTCCCAAATTTGTAAAAAGTTATAAACTTAAAGATTCAAGAGGCTGGTGAGCCCCAAACAGGATAAATGCAAATAAATCTGTTCTAAGACACATCATAATCAAACTTCTAAAAACTAAAGGCAAACTCATGAAAGCAGAGCACTGCCATCTTACCTAGAAAGGAAAAACAATCAAGTGACAATAGCTTTTTTCATCAGAAACCATGGAGGCCAGAGGTATTGTCACATATTCACATTTTTCAAATGCTAAAAGAAAAGAACCCATAACACAGAACTCTGTATCCAATGAAAATATCCTTAAGGAATGAATCAGAAATAAAGATATTCTTAGATAAAAGAAAACTAAGAGAATTTGTCATCAGCAGACCTACCTTAACAGAATGGTAAAGGAAGTTCTTGAAACAGAAAGGAAATTATAAAGGAAAGAATCTTGGAATATCCAGAAGGAAGAAAGAACAATGGAAAGAATAAAATATAGATAAATATAATAGACTTTCTATTGAGTTTCCTAAATTATATATTTGACAGTTAAAGCAAAACTTGTAACATTGTCTGATGTGGCTGTTAATGTATATAGGGGAAATGTTTAAAATAATTGCATTATAAACAGGGAAAAGAAAAGAGACCTTCTACATAAATTATGTATGTAATGTAACACTTAGAGCAACCACTTAAAGATCAATACAAAGACACTCAAACACTATAGATAAATCAAAACAGAATTCTAAAAAAATCTTTAAAAATTTTAAGTAACCCACAGTCAGATAGGTAAAAGAAAACAGAAACAAAAAAACTGAGGGAACAACAGAAAACAATAAATAAATTGGCAGGCTGACATACCAGTAATTACATTAAATGAAAATGGTCTAAGTTTATCAATTAAAAGAAATAGGTTGGTAGAGTGGGGAAAAATTACCCAACTATATATACTATCTATAAGAAACTAACTTCAAACACAACAGAAGTAGGTTGGAAAGTATAAGGATGGAAAAAGATATACCCTGATACATTAACCAAAACAAAGCAGAAGTGGCTATATTAATATATCAAATAAAGTGACTTCAGAGCAAAGAATATCAGGTACAGAAAGGAATATTAAAAGATGATAAAAGAGTCAAACCAAGAAGAAGACATAGCAATCTTACATGTGTACAAACTGAACAAAAGAGCTGCGAAATTTGTGAAGCAAAAACTGATAGAACTGGAAGAAGAAATAGACAAATCCACAATTATAGCTGGAGACTTCAGATGTCCTCTTGACAATTGATAGAACAACTAGAAAGAAAATCTACTACAAGTATGTGGAAAAATATTAGCCAATAGCATCTAATCAACATTTATAGTATATTCCACTCAACAAGAACAGAATACACAATCTTTTCAAGCACCCATGGAACACTTATCAAAATAGACCATATCCTGGGCCATAAAACAAACTTCAACAAATTTGAAAGAATTGAAGTTATACACAATTTGTTCTCTGACCACAATAGAGTCAAACTAGAAATCAATAGCAGAAACATAACTGTAAAATCTCCAAACACTTGGAAACTAAACAATACATTTCTAGATAACTCATGGATCAAAGAAGAAATGGCAAGGGAATTTTTAAAAATATACTGAATTGCATGAACATTTAAATACTACATGTCAAAATTTGTGGAATCCAGCTAAAGCAGTGCTGAGAGGGACATTTATAGCACTAAATGCTTACATTAGAAATGGAAATATATAATTCAAAATCAGTAATATAAGATCCCACCTCAGGAAACTAGAAAAGGAGGAACAAAATAAACCCAGAGCAAGCTCAAGGTAGGAAATAATAAAAAGTATAAATGAATAAAATTAAAAACAGATAAAAGGAAGTTTGGTGAAACAAAAAGCTGATTCTTCAAAATGATCAATAATACTGACAAACCTC